TATATATATATATATACATATACACACTGTATATGTATGGAGCTTTAACTGAAGGTTTTGAGTTTGGTTGCATTTTATTTATTTACTTGTTTTTTTTACCACATCACTTAAATTATATCTGGACCGCTCCATTCCTGACTCATTTTCTGTGCTGACATACTGATATCTAAAAAAAGTGGGCGACACATTTTTCTAGTGGATGGGTCAAACTGTGCCATTTCCATAATGTTAACGTGGAGCATATTGCACGCTCTGTCACCTTGAATAACAGCTCACACTGAGTGATTTGTAGCTCCACGTCTACATGGAAATGGCCACTTATGGTCCTAAAACCAGACAAATGCAGGAATGACACAAATTCAAATTTGTGATCTTGAAACCCCTAACATCTGTGATATTTTGTTTTAAAATGTATGATATTATACTCCATGCTGTAAAGTGAGCTATAATGTAAGTGCCTGTGTTAGCAAAACATCTCAGGAATGATAGAAGCTATTTAAATGAAACTCTCAGGTGATAATCATTGCGTTCTAGAATTGATAACTTTTGGAGTCTTTCCAATTCAAGATGGTCGCCACAGCCAATTGAACTTATAAACACAACAAAGGCTATAACTGTCATTTTCATAAATATAGAGCTACTGTTTGGTGTAGTTGTATCTGCACAACCCATTCTTCAAAACAGCACCAGATTATGCAAAATTGTGCAATTGCACTTAACGTTGTTTTGTTTTTTTTAAAGATTGAACCAAACTTGCTAAAACTTTGTCATTTTCCAGACAAGTTGAGCTTAATTTAAACCTTAATGTGATAAGAAAATATGCATTCCTTCAGAGAACTGATTTTGTTGTTTTAAATGTTTTCTGTACTCGTTCTGTATCTAGTTGTCACATTTAACAAGAGGTTTGCTTTGATTCTTTTGCTAAATGTCCTTGAGAGAAAATAAAGAAAGGAGAATAAATTCCCTTCGGATTAAAAAACAGGGAAAAGTCTCTCGGCCTTCGGACCAAAAGCCAAACGCTCTGTTCTAGAAACAAAAAACAGCATGCTCCCAGAGTGATTCCAACATATGCTCGTGCTTCGTTTCGCCACACTTTTTTTTAATAGCTACAGCTATTAAAAGCTCCTAATTCCCCGTGCCAACAGTCATCAGACTCCCCAGTCCCATTTCAACAATGGTATCTCCATTTGGACCAGTAGATGTAGTGCCAAGGTGAAGTGGTTTGTGTCTTTGTCTCCCTGTGCTGTGGAATGGTTGGGCTGACCTTATCAGCCATGCAGACCTCATATATAAAATAAAGCAATGTCATTTTGTCATTAATGCCATTCAGCACGGCTGCTGTGAGGAGGCTCTCATGTCGACTGACATCTGCAGAGGCACTGACCTCCTGCACCCTCGCGAGGCCCGTAGGATCAAGTGCGCACCTGCATAAACATGAATGCAGACACAGCGGGCTGGCTTGTTCCTTGACGAATTGACTCTCAACAACCATAAATTGTTGCTGTTTTGCTTTCAAACAATTCTCAGCTACTGCCAAACTTCAGCTCAACATCTGTGGAAATGACCGAGTTAAAGGCGTTTGTGTTTGCTAAAGTTGCTCAGCGTTGGCGTCCATCTTGAATACATCCGGTGATTACTTTCTGAGCGATGTAAAGCCTTTTCATTTGTTCATGAGGTATTGTGCTAACAAGCAGACATACACAGGCACAAACACGTGCTGAAACATTATCGCCTGCCACTGAAAAACAAAAAAACAGGCAATAAATTTACATATTCAGATCTCCTCGCTGAAGTAATTAGAGGAATTTTCAGGACTTCTGCTTCTGCTGCACACCAGGAGCAGATGGAGACCATATGATGCTGTGGCTGACCTGCTTATCCTCCTCATGGCTCCCAGTGTTGACCACTGTGAGGCTGAGATGCTTACAGGCGGCAGAGGTGTGCTTTTATTTTCTAGAGGCAGTCAGCTGATATACGAGCCTGGCTGAGAGTCTATATGACTAACTGTGTTCTGAATGTGACAGCTTACTCTCGGAGCTGTGGCTGCAGTGGATGCATGGGAGAAAAAGAAGCGCGGGAGTTGTTTTATTGATCAAGAGGAAGCTTACTGATTTAATACTTCTCCCATTCGTTGTCATAAAAGTACACCCCCAATTCTGAAGAGAGTGGGGCGTTGTGTAAAATGTAAACAAAAAACTGAACACGATGATTTGTAAATCTCATAAATCCATATTTTATTCACAGGGGAACTTAGAAAACATAACAAATGCTGAAGCTATGAAACTGTACCGTTGATTTTTTTTAGAGAAAAATAAGGTTAAGTTGATTTTTGTGGCAGCAACACATCTCATAAAAGTTGAAACTGGGTCATGTTTTCCATTGTGGAGCATCCTCTCAATAGTCTGTAAACATGTCTGAAGTGAGCAGACCAGCGGCTGGAGGTTTAGAGAGAGGATGCTGTCCCGCTCTTGTCTGGTGTTCAACAGTCCTGGCTTTGAGAACAGATGTGCTAAAACCCATATTTACATTTTTTCATTAATTCAGCCTTTCCAGATGTGTGACCTGCCCGTTCAATAATCACTAATGCACCCCCATACCATCAGAGAGGCAGGCTCTTGAGTTGTGCACAAATAAACATCTGGATGTTCTCTCTCTTTAGTATAGACGGCAATGGTTTCCTAAAAGATCCAACAAAGTTCAGTCAGGTCATCTGGACGGGTTCTTTTGTTGTTGTTGAGACATTTTGTCCGTCATCCAAAGGACTTCATCAGTCCGATGTGGGAATCAGCTTGTGGAACTGAGATTGTTGTGACTCCTTATACTCATGAAGTCCTTTGGATGAAGGATGAAACGTCTCAACAACAACAACAACAAAAAAGAAACCGTCCAGATGACCTGGCTGCATTTTGTTGGATTTTTTTACCTGGATTATTGAGCATGATCTTTGATGTTTCCTTAAAGAATTAAACATTTTGATTCATCTGACAAAAACTGTTTCTTTTATTTCATTTCATTTTAAATAATGTTTGGCCAAAAAAAACAA